TCTTCTTGGGCAGCAGCACAGCCTGGATGTTGGGCAGCACGCCGCCCTGAGCGATGGTGACTCCGCCCAGCAGCTTGTTGAGCTCCTCGTCGTTGCGGACGGCCAGCTGCAGGTGACGGGGGATGATCCTGGTCTTCTTGTTGTCGCGGGCAGCGTTCCCAGCCAGCTCCAGGATCTCAGCGGTCAGATACTCCAGCACCGCCGCCAGGTACACCGGAGCTCCGGCACCGACCCGCTGAGCGTAGTTCCCCTTCCTCAGGAGCCTGTGGACACGGCCAACAGGGAACTGAAGTCCGGCACGAGATGAGCGGCTCTTCGCCTTGGCCTTGACCTTTCCAGTTTTTCCTCCACGACCTGACATTTTGTTTTATTTTCTTCGCTTTCAAAGAGAGAAATATAACAATAACGCCGCATCAACTGCATTATATAGCTACTGTAGCTGCACTGTGATTGGCCGAAGTGAGCGCGACTCCTATCCTCCAATCAGAGGAGAGTTCATATTTATCACTGTACTTTCTCTCAGTTGAAGTGACTCATCAAAAGTTTTCAAACGACTTTTAACGTGTGAATGATGTTGATGTATTTTAATATACTGTCATTGTTTTTAACTAATGCAAAGTGTCTTTGAGTTCTGTGAAAAGTGCTTTATGAATAAAATATATTCCTAGTGCTACTTCAAAATCAATATAATATGATCCACAGTCATCTTAATATTGCTCAGTAAAAGTTAAATGGAAAAAAATAGTCTCTGGTATCACTACAGATAATAAACGTGTGATTTTACACATGTGTATAAGGTTCTTATTATCCTGTGATTTCCCTCTTCATTATTCTGACTGTAGACATGAATGATCTGTAGATGAATGTGTGAGGAGTGTCTTTGTAATATGACACAGTCATGGTGTACTGAAGATCTTTACTGTCACCTTAAACTGCAGAGAAAAATCTGGTTGATTACATGTTCAAATCACATATCTTTTGTTTATGAACATGTGCTCATCACTGAGTATTATGAAGCAGTCAGTAGTTACATCAGAGGAGTCAAACTCATTTTAGAATGGGTCACACACAGCTCAGTTTCATCTCAATCCCACAATGACCTGTAAATATCTCATAATGACCTGTAAATATCTCATAATGACCTGTAAATATCTCA